GGTAAATAATCCTAATAAAAAAAACCCATCTGGTTCACTAATGTCCTTTAAGGAAGGAAACTGCCATCCTTACCTGGTCTGACCTACATGTGAATCCAGACCCACAGTAATGTGGTTGAATCTTAACTGCCCTCTGGGCAACGAGGGATGGGCAATAAACACTGGCCTAGCCAGTGACGCCCTAATCCCGTGAATGAATAAAGGAAAAAAAAATGTGAACAAGTAGTCTGTAGGCAACGAGAGAAACATAACACAGGGTTAGCGAAGGAAATTTTCAGCCCAAACATCCACCATGTTGTGGTATGGAAAATCTAAAGCTAGTGGTCACTGAATCAAAATAAGTTGCTGCCCATTTAAGACAGAGATAAGGAGAGTTTTTTTTCTCACGGAGGGTTGGGAGCCTTTGGAACATTATTCCTCAAAAGGTGTTGGGAAGATTCTTGACAAGCAAGGCAGTTTCACAGATAGGCAGGAATGTGGAATAATCATAACAGCTCTGATCTTATTGAATAATGAAGTCTCCAGGGTCTGAATTCCTACAAGAGGCATCGGGGAACTGGGTTACACTATGGCATGGTGACAGAAATCCAGGTTGCTATTGGGAGCTGCAGGTTTATAACAAAGGCCAAGTCATGAACTCAATTGAGCATTACGTACTTTATGACCTTGTCACTCAGCACAATCAGTTAGGTCTCCAAGTTAGAACCATAGAACCATAGCAATGATACAGCACAGAAGGGAGCCGTTTGGCCCACCTTGTCCATGCCTACCCAAAGACACGCAGATGCCCTTTCGAATCCATTTAAAAGGGACCTCAGGAGCAACATTTTCACACACAGGGTGGTGCTTGTATGGAACAAGCTGCCAAAGGAAGTGGTACAATTACAACATTTAAAAGATATTTGGACAGGTACATGCATAGAAAGGTTCAAAGGGCTATGGGCCAAATGCAGGAAGATGGAACAGTTCAGTTTAGGAAATCTGGTCAGCATGGGCAAGTTGGGCCAAAGGGTCTGGTTTCCATGCTGTATGACTCTACGATAGTAAGAACATTGAATATCAAGAGGCAGTGGTTAGATTGTCTCTTATTGGAGATGGTCATTTCCTAGCACTGGTGTGGTGTGAAGGAGCAGACCAATGGACAGGGAACACAGCAGAGTCCAATTTTTCAAGTACATTTCTCAGTGCTCTCGAGGAAATGGAGGATGGAAGATAAAAGATAAAATACACACTTCCTGGAAACTCTCCAAAGGATGCACCAACTGTTTTTTTTCCTCGGAACCTCTGGGTAGATGCACCTCAATAATAATACACTACTTGTTTCCTACAGCCACATTTATTGGGCTAGTGAAAAACAACAATAATGAATGGAAAGAAAAAACTTAAAATGAGTTTGCAACCAATTTATAATCACAAAGAGCCCTACTGCCATTTGTGAGAACTTAATGGTCTGCTTTTAATGATAAATGACATAAGAACTGTAATGACAGATGCTGGAATTATCAGGTGCAATTGTTTAAGGCTTTTTGATTTGACAAAATGTATCTTTTCCTGAAAATCATTTTAACCCATTTTTTCACAACATTGTGCACTTCCTGGAAGAGGATATAGATCTCTCTCCCAGGTTAAAAATATTTGGAGATGAGAGATTATTGTTCCTTCTCACGGGCTCCAGGAGTTTTCACCATTGACCTAATCTCTGTAACATTCCAGACTTTAACCTACGTGTTTTTCCCCAAATATACCATGACCTACATTAATATATTTAAGGCAATTGACCTTTTACTTTTGTCCATGTTTCGTTTACAGATCTAGAAGTAGTGATCCAAGTGCTACAAAACTGTGACTGGTTTATCTGTCTTCGACAGCTAACTATCCTACATATACTTTGAAATGTGTTGATGTTAATCAAAGCTCTCATTTTGAAAATAATAAAACTTGGCAACATTTCTTAATGACGTTGTCAACCCGAGTCCCAAATATAACAAAAATTAACAACTTTGAAAAAATGATCTAATTAATCAGGCATTGAAAGGGGACCTACACTGAAATGTAGATACTGAGGTAATATATCTTGTAAAAACAAAGAGCAAACATGTATATTGTAATCCATTCCAAAATAGAGAACCATATTTGTAGGTGAAACCATTATAGATTAAAGGATTTAATATTAGCTCACAGCATCAGTACAGTTGACTATGAATTGAAACAAGGTATTCGAATTTTAATGACATGAAGAACTGCGGATACTGGAAATCTAAATCAAACAAAAGCAAAAATTGCTGGAGAAAATCAGCAGTTCTAACAGCTTCTGTGGAAAGAGCAAGAGAGAGAGACAGCTGTTTGCTACTGAGGCTAATTTTTTTTAAATGCAAAATTTCAATTGTTCTAGGCCTGCAAACTTACAAGTCTCACTCAACAGTCTGTTGATCTCAGGCACCCTTAACCCCTTCCAAAATCCCAAAGTCAGTGACAGTTCTGTAAGGTGGGCAAATACTAATAAGAAGGACAAGGGCAGCAGATGAACGGAAACACCACCACCTGCAAGTTCCCCTCCAAGCCACTCCCCATACTGACAGAGAATGATGTCACAGCTCCTTCAGTAATGTCGGGTCAAAATCCTGGAACTCTCTTCTTAACAGCATCCTAACAGCAACTGAACTACATGAGATTTGTGTACGGGACTCAGTGAGAAAACATAAGAGCAGATTCGATTTAATTTATTGGAGTCACATGTAAATAAGTACAGTGAAAAGTTTTGTTTTGCAAGCAGTGCATGCAGATCATAGCAAACAAGGACATACAAATCATAGGGTGCTTAGACAGAGCGAGGCACACAGGGTTACACTGCACAGGAGATGCACCAAGCAAGGTCACTGTTAGCAAGTTCAACATTACTTGAAGTTAGAGAGGTCCATTCATCAGTCCAATAACAGCACGAAAGAAGATGTTCTCGAACCTATTGGTGCATATGTTCAAGCTTCTGCCTAATGGAAGAGGTTGTAGGAGAGCATTACTGGGGAGGGAGGGGTCTTTGATGATGTTTCACCACGGCAACGAGAAGTGTAAATGGAGTCCATTGATGGCTTCAGGATTGGTCTGGGCTGTGCACACAACTTGCTGTAGTTTCTCACAGTTGCTGAGAAATCTGTGGGATCAGTCTTGATTGTATTTAACATTTGATGTGTCAGTGGGTCACAATATATTCCCTATTTTTCCTTTCTGTGGATTGCCACCTTGCTGTGGTAGAGAGACCTCAGTGTTCCGAGAGCGATCTCATCAGGAGTTCTTAACTCCTGGTAAGATCACCATGACGATAAGATCACCATGACGATAAGGTCACCATGACGGTAAGGTCACCATGACGACAAGATCACCATGACGATAAGATCACCATGACGGTAAGGTCACCATGATGATAAGATCACCATGACGATAAGGTCACCATGACGATAAGGTCACCATGACGGTAAGAAACCAGAGGCGAGGAACTAGAAAATGTACAATCCAAACAAGCTCTCAACAGCGATTCAGGTGGAAGATACTTGTGTGATATCAATGGCTGTGAACAATGGTAATTTAGTGAGGTATAGGAAGGTAGCTACTGGCCAGGGAACCACAATTCAGCAAGTTAGCCAATAGTTGGGAAGAGCAGAAATTAGGCAAGAGAAGCAAAAAGAAAGAGTGCAAGCTGTAGCATATGGTGATTCAGAATTAATTATTTTTAAATTCACTCATGGATGTGGGCATCACTGACTGGGCCAGCATTTATTGCCCATCCCTAGTGCCCCTTGAGAAGGTGGTGGTGAGCTGCCTTCTTGAACCGCTGTAGTCCATGTGCTGTAGGTTGACCCACAATCCCATTGTGGAGGGAATTCCAGGATTTTGACCCAGCGACACTGAAGAAACAGTGATGTATTTCCAAGTCGATGGTGAGTGGCTTGGGGGGAATCTTGCAGGTGGTGGTGTTCCCCTGTCCTTCTAGATGAAGTGGTTGTGGATTTGGAAGTTAAATTGTCCTGCTCTATGATAGTCTTAACATCAAAGATGAATGAACAACTTAGCACATGAGAAAACATTTTGCAGTTTCTAAAAAAAAAATCAGCTTCTGAAGCAGAACCAAAGATTGTAATACAAATAAAAAAAATTGACAATTCTGTTTTACAACCCATTCCCTTTTCACTGGACTGAAAGTTTGAGAGCTTATCTTACTTAACTAAGCGGTTAATGAAAAACTAGTTTTTAAATTCCGATAAGCCTAACTACGATTGTGCTGTAGGTCTGAAGCAATCATTTTACATGTTACTTTCTCTTTTACAAAAATCCCCTTTCAGATCTTCTTCTGCCAGTATATCCTGAAAGGACCACACTGTAGACAGAAATCAGTGCTAAATATAATCAGTAAAGCATACCCTGTAGGTAAAATCAGTGCAAAATATCAATAAACTTTATATGAAAGTCGTTTACATTTTCTTAAAACATTTTTAGACGCACACACGTGATTGTGCTAATCTGCAGTTTTGGCCAATGTATAGCTGCTTTCCACTACCTGTACCTGTTTAAAATAAGCTGGTATTTTTCAGAGCACAGCCATGCATGGATAGATTCTCTGAAGTTTGTATTTATTAAGAAACTGACTCATGGCCGCCAATCAATGGGCCTGGGTGGAAACTTGAACCATAACTTCATTGCAGAAGAACAGCGCAATTTCAAACACAATCTGTACCACATTTCCCAATTACATTGGAAGTGAAAACTCTACCCCAATATCTAAAAAATACACCCTGACTTGATGTGAAGTTGTTTTGACCTTACCCTGACCTCTGCTAATCTGAACATTCAGTCATTTACTTATGTCCTAATTATGTTGTGATTTGAATCGCAATGAGCATGCCCCCAGCACGTTTAAAGTTCATGTTTAACTGATAAAGATTGCTGTAGAACTGCAGCTGCAAATGTAATGAGTTGGTAGAGACCAAGAAGGAATCGTGGTCAGGACGATGTTGATATGCTGTAAAGGTGCAGGATGCTGCAAAGCAGCAAAGAACAATGATTGGTGTTATCCAACACTGCTTCTGTGTGCCTTCGGGTTTTTCTCAATGATGAGACCTTCAGAGCCTTTTTTAACACCGTACCTTGTTGGGCCTGCTAAGAACTTAACAGCTGAACAGGTATTTGTCAAATATGTTTCCAATACACAGAAAGAACATGGTTTAACTCTGAGCAGAAACTGTGCTCTAAGGATTTGGAGTAGATTTGTAGCTCGGGTTGTGAGTGTTGAGGTTGGTTGGCTCGCTGAGCTGGTTTCTTGTTTCGCAGATGTTTCGTTACCGTGCTGGGTAACATCTTCAGTGCAGCGTCCTATAAAGCTTCATCTCAGGCTGCACTGATGATGTCACCAAGCATGGTAACGAAATGTCTGTGGAACAACAAACCAGCTTGGCGAGACAACCAACCTCAATAGAAACTGTGCATACAGTTTTGGTCTCTATATCTCTCCTTACCTTAGATAGAGGGCAACAAAGCTTCACTAGATCGATTCTTGGGATGAAGAGATTGCCCTATGAAGGGAAATCAAGTAGACTCAGTCTATATTCGAACTAAAACTTAAAATGTTTAAAAGGGTAAATGTTGGGAGAACTTTTTTCCCTGATTGGAATTCAAAAGACAGAGCATCTGATTAAGGGTTGGGCATTTCAAACTGAGATGGCAAAAAGAAAGAAAGACTTGCATTTATAATGCGTTCTCCGTAGTCATCCAGCAGCCTTGACCATGTAATAACGATCAGATCATACTTATTCATTTTCACTTGTGTTCTCATTTCAACCGTTTTGTTTTGAATGTTACGTGTATTCAGATATAAAGCCTTCAGCTAAATCCTTTTACTTTCTTTGTAGATTCCAATCTTATCTGTTAGTTGGTTTTTAGATTCATACTCTCTCACACCCTCCTGTCACAGTCTGTTCATCATTAACATATTATAACCTTTTACGTTGGCCTTGACTCCACTCTTTGATTTACCATGTCTTCCCCCAGTATTCAGTTTAAAATTCTCACTACTTTCCCCATTATGTGGTTGGAAGAACACTAGCCCCAGCACGGTTCAGATGGAGGTATGTTAATTCCAGTGGCCCTAAGCCCAATTACCCCAGTACTGATGCCATCACCCCACCATCTGGAACTTATTTCACTCACATCAGTCATATGGAGTCATAGAGGTCTACAGCAAGGATACAGGCTCTTCAGCCCAACTTGCCCACGCCACCCAGTTTTCACAATTAAACTAGTATCATTTGCCTGTGTTTAATCCATATCCCTCCATACCCATCCCCTCCACGTACCTGACCAAATGTTTCTTAAATGACAAAATTGTACTCACCTCCACCACTACCTCTGGCAGCCCATTCTAGACACTCACCACCCTCTGTATGAAAAAATTGTCCCTCTGGATACGTTTCTGTCTTCCCCTCTCACCTTAAACCTATACCCTCTAGTTTTTGACTCACCTATCATGGGGAAAAGCTGTTGGCTGTCTACCATATCTACGTCAGTCAAGATTTTATAGACCTCTACAAGATCACCCCTCCGTCTCCTACTGTCCAGGGAAAAAAGTCCCAACCTCGCCTTATAACTCAAACCTTCCAGTTCAGGTTGCATCCTAGTAAATTTTTTCAGCACTCTTTCTAGTTTAATAATATCCTTCATTATAAAGTGGAGGTTGACCCCATCCCCCTCTGAGAATTAAAACCAAAACACCCAAAGAGGAGCCCCTCGCCCTATAATCTACAAAATGAGTGTGAAAAGTGGTGTAACCTGCTTTTCAGCAACTTCTAGTGGTTAAACAAAATAAACCCCTGACACTCACTTTACAATCAACAAGTAACAATTTATTTATCTAACTCTAACAGTGAACAAATTAACCAAACTACTAACAAACCAAATAAACGCCTTCCAACTACTAACTATTCCTGAATAAAACAAGATTCTAATGGTAAACTGTTCCAATAAATACAAGTCCCACTTATACAAAGGAAAAAAAAAATTTAGTATCTCAAAATTACAGCTGGGTTACATGTCTTCCAGAATGTTCTGTGTCTTTTCTGTATAATTTTTTGTCAGGAACGCGTTCTCCATCAATTTTTCTGTCTGGAATATTGACTAGTTGTGTTGTAGGTATCTTTAATTTAAGTGGTGCTTTCTCTAAAACTTAGAGAAGACTGTGAGGGCCAGTGATTCTGTCTTGAGAGCTGAGAGCTGTTAACTCTGGCAGATGGCAGTTTGCTGTCCTGTCTTTTTCCAACTGCTCTCTCCTGTTATACCTTTAATAACATATCAATTTCTTACAGTAGGATTGATCCTTTGTTGTCAAAACCATCAGATTTAAATTTCATTGGTTTTTGGTATCTAAGTGTCTGGTTCAAATTGATTGGCTAAATTCAAAACTTGTTGTCTTGATAACATAACAAACCTACTGCTTGGCCAACTAACTGTACAGCCTTTTATACAAATGTTTCAATTCAGGTGCTCTCTATGTAGTTTCAAACTTTCAAGCTGCTCACAGACGTTTTGTTTAAATCTCTAAGCATAGAAAAAGCACAATCTTTTAAAGGGACCACGCACTGCCTTCCCCCGCCCCTAGCATTCCACAAACACCAAACTTTAACTTCCTGCCTGCCAATCCACAAGTACTTTACCGAACTTTACAGCACCTTTCTAGAGTAGGGCGACCATACTACATGCAGTACTCCAAATGTGGCCTCACCACGTCTTGTACAGCTGTAACAAGATGCCCCAACTCCTAAACTCAATGCTCTGACCAATGAAAGTAAACATGCCAAATGTCTTCTTCACCACTTTGCCTACCCATGACTCCACCTTCAAGGAACTATGAACCTGTACCCCTAGATCTCGTTGTTCTATAACACTCTGCAGGGCCCTACCATTGACTGTGTAAGTCCTGCCCTGGTTCTTCTCCACCCTTAAGCATTTTTGAACAGTCATTTTTTTGACAATAACCTTTGTATGTTTGTTTAAGTTTCATTTGTAATAAAATAGTCATTCTTTGTTGACAAGAAAAACCTAGCTGAATTGTTTCCAATACTAAACCAGAAAAATTATAACATTTTTTATGACCTCTATACAAATGCAAACTTGAAAGGAATTGATGCTTAGTTGTAACGGTTGGATTTTCACACAATCACAGAATGATTACAGCACAGAAGGAGACCATTCAGCCCATTGCGCCTTCCTCTGGTTCTGTTACCTAGTGCTAATCTCCTGCCTTTCCCTCATATCGTTGCACATCATTTCTATTCAAATACTCTGCAAATTCACTGCAGGTTCACTTCAGCTAAGCGTCCAAAGAGGTCAGCTCTCTCCAGGGGAGTATCTGAAATCTATGTGAATATAGCAAGCAACTGTAAAGGAAGTAAAATAAAGAAACACAAACAGCTTGGGTTAAAAGAGGTTCAAAAATACAGAAAGGAAATGGCAAAATCATTGAATATTTATTTCTAAATCTCTTCTGCCACACGTAAATCTGAAGGAAGGAAACTCCATACTTGTAAACATTAATTCGCAGTGCCAGAGAGGTTGTTTGTTAGTAATAAAGATTTTTCATGCTGTTGAAAGGGTAAGTACACTGAAATGGACAAACTAACTTTTTCTGCAAAAAAATCTCGATTTCCATGTTTTATTATGCAAGTCTGCTCACTGGATTTGGTGAATTTATTTTCCCCTACATTAATGGTGCTAGCCTTATTGTTTTATCTACTGCAAAATCTGGCCTGATATTCACAAAGTATGATGGTTCAGAAAACAGAAAACACAAGAACACAAGAACTAGGAGCAGGAGTAGGCCGTCTGGCCCTTCGAGCCTGCTCCGCCATTCAATAAGATCATGGCTGATCCTTTCGTGGACTCAGATCCACTTACCCGCGTTCTCACCGACAAGAACACAAGTGGACCACAAAACTGGACCAATGGTACAGATAACCTCTGAGATTCCATTTCACTGGTATAATTGTGAAATATGCTAAACATATTTCAAGTCATTTCTAATTATAAACAGAATCTTAGCACTTTCACGGAATTGTCTTCTTATACTTAATTGTTACCTTTTTTTAAAAATGATCTTAATGTGGTAGCTCAGTGGTTAGCACTGCTGCCTCACAGCGCCAGGGACCTCGGTTTGATTCCATCTTTGTCTGTGTTGAATTTGCACGTTTTCCCTGTGCCTGCATGGGTTTCTTCCCACAGTGTGCAGGTTAGGTGGATTGGCCATGGTATAGTGTCCAGAGATGTGCAGACTAAGTGGTACAGTCATGGTAAATGCAGGGTTATAGAGTATGGGGGTGGTTCTGGGCAGGGTGCTCTTCAGAGGGTCAGTGCGGACTTAATGGGCCAAACTGCTTGCTTTCACCTTTTGGGATTTTATGCCTAATCTAGCATTAAACTTATTTTCTCATTCATTTTCAGGTTACTAATGAAATGTTTCCAGTGTGGACATATTCTTATTTGGTAATACTATTTCCAGTCTTTGTGGTCACAGATTATCTCAGATATAAACCTATCATAGTTGTACAAGGGCTCAGTTATGTTATCACTTGGTTAATGCTCCTGTTTGCACAAGGAATCCTGGCCATGCAGTTTTTAGAATTCTTCTTTGGGACTGCATCTGCCACAGAAGTGGCCTATTACTCCTATATTTATAGCGTTGTTAGTGCTGAGCATTATCAAAAAGTGACCAGTTACTGTCGAAGTGTCACACTAGTTGCATACACCCTGGGTTCTATTCTAGGTCAAGTTTTAGTCTCTGTTTGGAACGTCCCTTATTTCTATCTAAATGTGATTGCACTGATTTCAGTGTCTCTAGCTTTCCTTTCTTCAATTCCCCTGCCAATGCCCGAGAGAAGCATGTTTTTCCACAGGAAAGAGGCTGCAAACATCCAAGCTTCCCCACCAATGGAATATGTCAAGTCTGAAAACAGTAGTCCCGAAAATAATCCTGATGTGACAGGCTCACACTTGCCTATAATGTCGGATGGAGACGAAGATGATCTGGTGAAAGCAACAGAGAAAAAGAATGCAATAATGGTCCTGCCCAAACTGTGGTCTGATTTCAAAGAGTGCTACTCCTCTCCTCGAATCTTCTACTGGTCTGTCTGGTGGGCTTTGGCCACCTGTGGATATAATCAAGTTGTGAATTACATACAAGTCCTATGGGATCACGTTGAACCATCCCAAAATTCCACAGTGTATAACGGTGGTGTGGAAGCTGTATCGACTTTTGTGAGTAAGTTCTATCATAATGTTCCTCCAATTTATTTTATTAATAGCAACTTTTGACATTATATTTCATGTCTGCATAAGTGGAGAGATTTAGAGATTTTTGGTGAAGTGAGTAGTAAAGGACAGAACCAGTTAACAGAACCAGATCCCCCCATCCCCACCTCAGTGGTCGAGAACGCCCTCGACCGTGTCTCCAGCATTACCCACAACTCATCCCTCACACCCCCTCCCCGCAATAACAACCAAAACAGAATCCCCCTCGTCCTCACGTACCACCCCACCAACCTCCGGATCCAACGCGTCATCCTCCGACACTTCTGCCATCTGCAATCTGACCCCATCACCAAAGACATTTTTCCCTCCCCACCCTTATCTGCTTTCTGAAGGGACCACTATCTCTGGGACTCCCTTGTCCGCTCCACACTCCCCTCCAGCCCCACCACACCCGGCACTTTTCCCTGCAACTGCAGGAAGTGCTACACCTGCCTCTACACCACCCCCCTCACCCCCATCCCAGGCCCCAAGAAGACCTTCCACATCAAACAGATGTTCACTTGCACATCTGCTAATGTGGTATACTGCATCCGCTGTTCCCGTTGTGGTGTCCTCTACATCGGGGAAACCAAGCGGAGGCTTGGGGACCGCTTTGCAGAACACCTGCGCTCGGTTCGCACGAAACAACTGCACGTCCCAGTCGCGAACCATTTCAACTCCCCCTCCCATTCCTCAGACGACATGTCCATCCTGGGCCTCCTGCAGTGCCACAACGATGCTGCCCGAAGGTTGCAGGAACAGCAACTCATATTCCGCTTGGGAACCCTGCAGCCCAATGGTATCAATGTGGACTTCACAAGCTTCAAAATCTTCCCTCTCCCTACCGCATCCCAAAACCAGCACAGCTCGTCCCCGCCTCCCTGACCTGTCCTTCCTCCCACCTATCCCCTCCTCCCACCTCAAGCCCCACCCCCATCTCCTACCTACTAGCCTCATCCCGCCCCCTTGACCTGTCCGTTCTCCCTGGACTGACCTATCCCCTCCCTACCTCCCCACCTACACTCACCTTTACTGGCTCCATCCCCGCCTCTTTGACCTGTCTGTCTCCTCTCCACCTATCTTCTCCTCTATCCATCTTCTATCCACCTCCCCCTCTATCCCTATTTATTTCAGAACCCCCTTCCCCTCCCCCAGTTCTGAAGAAGGGTCTAGGGCCGAAACGTCAGCCTTCCTGCTCCTCTGATGCTGCTTGGCCTGCTATGTTCATCCAGCTCTACACCTTGTTATCTAACATCCTAGAAAAGACCAACAACAGTCAAGTCCTGCAGCAATCCCAGGTAATGGCTCCACTGGCAGAGTGCTGGTGAAGTACCAGGGAAATGAACTATGTAATCCAAAAAAAAATGGAATGAGGAAAGCTTTCACATGTCACCAGAAGTAGTTCATACAGCATCAGAAAAAGACACAAGTCTTTTGACATCAGATTCAGCAACAATAAATTTAAAAAGGAGTCCAATAATTAAATAAAAATAACTCTTTGGTCTTTGAGTACTTCATCATTCTATGAACACAATAAAACTGGAGCTGACTGAGTCCTCAAGTGCATGCATTAGTTGTGGCGAGTTCGTGCAGTTAGTTCACTCCTCTCTAGTGTTCTGTTTCTTGTCCTGCTACACAGTTTTGTCCTCCTAAATGTCAAGCCCTTTAAGATTTCTTCCTGCATCTGAGAAAATGCTCTAGAAAAATCAGCTTGTTGTTGTAGAATTACTTCAAGTGTGACCCAAGTATCATTTGATTTTTGCAGCATTATCCTAATGCATGACCAGTTAACCTAACTAATACTTATTGTCAATAGCTTATAGTTGATACAGTGCATAACAAGAAATGGACTAGTATGTGAAAAAGCATAATTAAACCATCATGAGGGCAGCTAAGAGATGTGACCTTTTACATAAAAATTAACCTCTATTTTTGTAAAATTGCAAATAGTCGAGTCACTGAAACTTCCACAATAGAATTTTCTAGTACAGTGCTAAACTAGTTGTACACAATGTGATTACTGTTGGAAGACATTTTGCCAAAGCTTTTCATCTTGCACTCATCAGGACATTTCACAAGAATACAAATTTAGGGAAAAACCAACATTCATTTTGCATGAGAACACAGTGCTGATTGGGAGGCAAATGAACTCTGATTGGTAGAGGTGTTGTCATGTAGAATGCAGCTATTAATGGTGATTGACAGTTAACAATCAGACTGTTTAAATTTTAAACCAGGCAAATTGCCTTTGATTGATCAACAAACATCTATCTAATATTTTGAGATAACAAGGTGTGGAGCTGGATGAACACAGCAGGCCAAGCAGCATCAGAGGAGCAGGAAAGCTGACGTTTCAGGTCTGGACCCTCTCTATCTAATATTTTGTTGAGTTCAGGCTAACTACATATATACTTTCTTTTCACCTGCAAAGGGTCCTATGTTTTAACATATGAAGTTTCTGCTGCACCACATTGTGAGTCTGACTGACAATCCGAAATTAGCTGTCAGTGCAATTCCTTACTCATTTAGGATATTAAGTAAATGTTATCCAATTCAGAATCACATCTGGCATTAAATATTGCGTTACAAATTCTACAACTGTGGGCTGATGGGATGCAGCCAGTACTTTCCTTACTGTGAACAGCCAAAAAGACGTGCTGTTTGATATGACCCACTAGTTTTTGGGACACACAGCTTACATCACACCAACACTGGAACTCATATACCTCAGGAGTCACTTGTGTGATAGACAGAACATTTTTTTTGGCTTGACAACAGCATCCTATTGGTCATAGAGATCTACAGCATGAAAACAGCTTCTTCGGCCCAACTTGCCCATGCTGCCCAGTTTTCACAATTAAGCTAGTCCCATTTGCCTGCGTTTAGTTCATATCCCTCCATACCCATCCCATCCGTGTACCTGTCTAAATGTTTCTTAAATGACGAAATTGTACTCGCTTCCACCACTTCCTCTGGCAGCCTGTTCCAAATATTCCCCACCCTCTGTGTGAAAAAATTGGCCCTCAGGACCCTTTTGTATCTCTCCCCTCACACCTTAAACCTATGCTCTCTACTTTTAGACTCCCTACCATGGGGAAAAGCAGTTGTCTATCTACTTTATCGATGTCTCTCATGATTTCAAAAACCTCTATAAGGTCAGCCCTCAGTCTCCTATGCTCCAGGGAGAAGAGTCCCAGCTATTTATCCTCCCTTTATAACACAAACCTTCCAGTCCAGGTAGCATCCTAGTAAATCTTTTCTGCACTCTTTCTAGTTTAATACTATCCTTTCTATGATGGTGTTCACCATGCATGTTACTATTACATAGTAGCAGTGTGAAACAGCTAGCTTCAACTATTACACAAAATTCTGAGATACGTTACTCTTCCGGAGTTGATTCTGGAGTTGAGGGGATTGGCTTATGAGGAGAGACTGAGTAGATTGGGATTATATTCATTGGAATTCAGAAGATTGAGGGGGGATCTTATGGAAACATATAAAATTATGAAGGGTATAGATAAGATAGAAGTAGAGAGGATGTTTCCTCTGGCAGGTGAAGCTAGGACAAGAGGGCATAGCCTCAAGATTAGAGGGAGCAGATTTAGGCCTGAACTGAGAAGGAATTTCTTCACCCAGAGGGTTGTTAATCTATGGAATTCCTTGCCCAGTGAAGTAGTTGACGCTACTTCAGTAAATGTTTTTAAAAAAAAGGTAGATTTTTTTTGAACAATAAAGGAATTAAGGGATACGGTGAGAACGCGGGTAAGTGGATCTGAGTCCACGAAAGGATCAGCCATGATCTTATTGAATGGCGGAGCAGGCTCGAAGGGCCAGACGGCCTACTCCTGCTCCTAGTTCTTATGTTCTTATGTTCCAAAGTAATCTGAGGTAGACTGGGCACCTTTCAGGACCAACAGTGACTGCCTTAGTGCTATGCATGAATTTACAGGATGTACAGTGAAAAATGTTCTGAACAGGATGGATAATATCTCACAAAGTGGCTTTGATGTTTCCTATTTCAACATTCATGCCTTGGCCATTCAGAGTCAACCTGCCTGGTTTAAGATGTAAACTGACTGTTAGCTGTCACTCAGCAGGAGTAGGAATATTCCCCATGGCAACAATTCTACCAATCACAGCTCACTTGGCAACTGATCATTCTCCTCTTATGCAGTAAAAATGTTGGTTTTTCCCTTAGAGTTTGTATTCTTGCAAAATGTCCTGATGAGTACAAGATAAAAAAGTTTTGGTAAAATATATCTCTTCTTCAGCAGTATTCAAGTCCTGTACCACCAAAAGACTATTTAGACACAGTGCTAGCCCTAGCTTTTTTTGCTTTGTGAAGATGGCTTTATCAACTTCATAGTAGTTGTTTTTTTGCCGTTCACCTCCTTCACAGGGCCATCGAACTGATTTCTCACTTTTCCGATCAGGAATGGCACTAGTTGGATCATTGATATCATCTTGCCATGTGTTAATTACGTTAATGAAAGTATGATAATGATCATTTAAGTTGTCTGAGTTTTTTTTAAAATTGCTGATTCAATGACCTCAGAAAGATTGAGTTTTTGTCATCATAAATCCAGGTGCTGGTACATCTTTTGCTGTGGGCTATATAAACGTCGACTGGGCAATCTGGGGAGAAATGGCATTAGGCATCTTTTCAACAGTGAATAGCAGTGCTTTATTTGCCATCGACCTGTCAAACAATATCTGGATTTGTTACGGTGGATATGTTGTGTTTAAAGCCACGTACATGTTACTGATTACCATAGCAACGTGAGTATAATAATCTGAAAGAAACGTAGAACTGAAATATTAGTAACTAATAGAAAGGAAACATAAAAGAAACAGAATTCTGTTTAATAAACCGTTTTCTAAATTGTTTTTAAGTTAGTCAGGTGTGTACCATGTATGTATCTGGAGTGTGTGGGGATTTGATATTCTGTGGGTGGGTACAGGGGACCAGTATCATCTGTTGGGGGGGCTGGGGTTGTGGGTATTGTGTGGAGGTGTTTTTGTGTGTCAGAAATAGGTATTGTGTGTGCGTGTGTATATGTATATGTGAGAGTGTGTCTGTTAGATTGCGTGCTTGCACGTACACCCTTGCAAGTGAGAGTGTGTCTGTGAGAATGTGAGTGTGTGTATGTGGCTGTGAGAGAATGTAAGAGTGTGTGTGTCTATGAGAGAGAGTGTGTGTGTGTATATGTGTGTGAGAGAGTGTGTGTGTGTGTGTGTGTGTGTGTTTGTGTATATGTATCAGAGAGAGTGTGTGTGTGTGTGTGTTTGTGTATATGTATCAGAGAGAGTGTGTGTGTCTCAGAGAGCGTGTGTGTGTGAGAGAGAGAGAGAGTGTGTGTGTGTGCGTGTATATGTGTGAGAGAGAGAGTGTGTGTGAGAGAGAGAGAGAGAGATTGTGTGTGTGTCTGTAAGAGAAAGAGTGTGTGTGTGTGTGTGTGTGTGTGTGAGAGAGAGAGAGAGAGAGATTGTGTGTGTGTGTGTCTGTGAGAGAGAGAGAGAGAGAGTGTTTGAGTAGGGAGTAACAGAGTTCACCCAGGAGACAAAAACTGCTGGTGTCACATAGACACCTTTACAAGTAATTAGAAGGCGAGTCTCACATTTCTGGAGAGGAGAAAGAATCTAAGTTTATTGAGGTATCATGGGGATCAGTAGGTGATTTTACCTCTTACTTAAATTCAGAGACTAAGATTTACAATTGGCACAATCTCACACTAAATCTAACACCTTGATTGAGAATTTTAAACAAACTGTCTTACCACTGGGCTGTTAATGCAGAGATCCAGATAATGCTCTAGGGACCCAGGTTCAAATCCCGCCAGAGCAGATGGTGGAATTTGAATTCAATAACTATCTGGAATCTGGAATTAACAATCTAATGATGCCATGAATCCATTGTCAAGTGTCAAGGAAAAACCCATCTGGTTCACTAATGCCCTTTAGGGAAGGAAACTGCCTTCCTTACCTGGTTTGGCCTGCATGTGACTCCAGACCCACAGCAACATGGTTGACTCTTAACTGCCCTCTGGGCAATTAGGGATGAGCAATAAATGCTTCCTGGCCAGCAATGCCCTCATCCTGTGAATGAATTTTTAAAAAAATTCTTCCTGTCAATACTCATCCTTGCCTACTTTCTCAGTCTCTGCCTGTCAATATACATCTTATGTGGACAGGTTAACAAACAGATCATTTTTTGAAAGGTTAACTGCATTATCCTCTTCTGGGTGGTGGGTTAGTTGGCTGTACAGTCAGCAGTGATTGATTGGCATATTTCTAAGTTTTCTTCCATTGGCTTAGCTATGCAAGGTTTACATGTCTGGTTTCAATCAGCCTCCACTAATTTCAACCAGTTTGCTGTGATTGACAGTTCAAGTATCACGTACATCTGGTTTCCACACTACACGCTGTTCTGAACTTGCAGCCAGTCTGTTAACCATTTCTTTACAGCATGGTGTTCTATCTGATGCACAGCACAGGGAGTTACTTGTGTTGTTTATGTATGCAAAGCTCTGACTGAGCAGTCTTATTATGTTTTCTATAAGGATATTGGTTATATCTTAGCATTGACCATAAGTATGCTGTTCAGTTGGGTGCTGCTCAAAACTCTCATCTGCCATGTCTGTACAAGCCCCTGTTCACTAGCGGCCAGTCATTTCACTCCCAAGGGCAGACAGCAGGAAGAATGGTGGGCCTCTGAGAGTAGAAACATTTTCACACTTCCCTGGCTACATTCAGTGTCACAATCTGTACGTTAATAAAATGGTATTCTTTCTTGTTAAAGAAATTTGCTGGCTGATACCTTAATGCACACGTTGTAGAGTCAATTATTGCCCATCATGTAGTGGAAATTAGTAACTACTGCAAAGCCACATGCTTTGTTCTGTTAGTAGCTATCATTAGGAAAAGTGATGTGTTGCCATGCACCAACAGATAGGGTACTGGTCACCTGATTAATGCAGTGATGAGTTACAGACTGTGAGAAGACACTTAGGTCTCCTGTAGTAAAATGATTGGATCCACTGGTGTGAACATGAAGTTGATATGAGCAGACAAATACTTAACGCATTTTATGATACTGGTCTATGTGCAACTTTAATTCCAATTTCTACACATTTGTTTGGATCTTAAAACTACAACAATGCACGAAAGGAAACTGATTTCAAACTGCATTAACCGGTTAGTTCAAAATTAACTGAAGTAGTATTAAAAAGGGATAATTAGACTAGCATGCACAGATATAATTCAAACCCCTTTTTAAAGTCATTTATACTCTCCTTAAATTTACATTTGCCTTATTTCCTCTTATATCCACATTTATCATGTAAAACCATTGCAATGCTTCACCCATTTGTATCTCTGGAACCATAAAAATAACCTGTTCTGCTACCTACTACGCTTTAGGAGGATTTTCTCTAATTGCTGATAATCCCTGCTATCCTTGCCCAGAGCTTGAATGAAGCGAGCTCCATTGGGAAGGCAGCTGAATTCCCACTCTCCCTGCATTAGCCCTGAGCAGATTGCCATTAGTATGCATGAGACATGAGCTTCAAAACAGCTCAGGGCACACGCAGATTACAGCAGGCAGGTGGTCGGTACACAATGTGGCTGTCAAATTTTCAAATTGTCTTTTGTGTCCTTTGTTGAATATGAATTTGAAGCAGTGCTCAAAGTCTAACCAATTATTTCCTTCATCAAGGTTTCAGATTGCATCTAACCTGAGCATTGAGCGATATGCTCTTTTGTTCGGTGTAAACACCTTTGTAGCCCTCCTACTTCAGACCATTCTGACTGTTATTGTCGTTGATTCAAGAGGCCTTGGCTTGGATGTTATTACTCAGGTGAGTTCAACACAAAATTTTATGAGTTGCATCAAGGAAATTTACATTTGGATGATATGAAAGTTTCTGCTTTGATTTATAGAGATATTAGTTAACAGCAATGTGTTAATTATGTTTTCAAACATTTTGGAGATTCATGTTCTAACCTTGTGTAATCCAATGACTTTACAATGAGTTGACATTGGACATGTCTAAATGTGATATCTGGGATTTTAGACGTGTTATGATCACAACTGATGGGAACACTGCCTAAGTGATATCTCAGTGTGAACCTGGCTTGATATGTTTATTATATTTATTTATTTTATTCTTATTACATTTTATTCTTGTAGTTTGGTTATTGGCGTGGTCAAATGCAACATATTTGCATGGGGCTGCTAATGTTCCTTTAACAAAAGAACACAAGTTTATCATACAAAAGTGAAAAAAAATCTATACACAGGACACTTTAGAAAGATCTTAACATAAACAGCAGAAAGGAGAATTCAACCCCCGTTTTCCAACAACACCCTTTACTTACTCAATCCAATCTTAACTCTAATTTATCACATACCTGAGAAGGTTGCAAGTATTCCTTTCAGTGACTTTATATATATTCACCAGATGTGATTCTGCCTGTTACAGTCTCTCCCAAGATACACAAACACTGCCTTTTCCTAACCAAACTTTAAAAGGCCTCATCCCAAGCCAGCATCTGTAATTCTCTGTCTTATCTGTTTTAATTGAGAAAAGCCCTCTCTACTTAAACTGCTAAAACAACTTTATAGCTTCTTTCCAGCTCTGGGAGCCAGTAAACTGACAAATTAAACAGTTATTTTCTGGTATGAAACTGCTCAACTGAAACCTGATTGTGGCCCTGGTCTGTCTTTCTGCATGTGTCACATAAACTCAAAATTGTAAACATTTCATCAATTAATTCCATGGGTGGCTTATCTAACATTAGGGGCCGCATTTTTTCCTGCTCTTTGGAATTATAAACTGAAGTGGAAGTTCGACTACAATAACTGAAAAAAGGGACAGTTTTGCAACTTGGAGGTAAAGTTGATATGAAAACAAAGTTCTGGAGAAACTCGGCAGGTCTTGAAGCATTTTTGGAAAGAGAAACAGAGTTCATGTTTCAAGTCTGTGTGTGTGATTTGAAGTACAGTTTAAATTGCAGACATTAGAAATCCTTTATTTCATTGTTTGTTGATGCTAATTGCAGAACAATTAATAGTTATCTTTTCTGTTAGTGGTGCGATTTGTTTTTGTCTTGAGTAGTAGTCAGGCAAAGTAGTCATTTTGGTTGTTTCATTTGGATATTAAATATTTTGTTACAGCTTTGGATCAGTGGCACATGATAATCAGTGCATTCTCTTCCCAGTTAAATTGTGACACTTGTTATTTACCTTAAGTCACAAGCTTTCTTGGAAATAATGTTTGAACTCACTGTTCAATAATGACTTTCTAATCTTTGGTATAAAACCATCTTCACAGAACTTAAATAGTAAGAGTCTATTTTTCCTTTACTTTTGAAGCCAAGTTCCCAAATAAGAACAATACATACTATAAACCTACATCATGCACTTCTGTGCTCCCCAGCATACATTTAATTCATTAAAATGTATAAGAGAAAGACTGTAACTTTAAGAGCACAAAGCAGACAATCCTAGCATTACAACTACATTAAGGCTCAGTTGGGGATGCTAATACCTCTATGTCTCAGCACCAAATAAGTGCTATGCTGCTCTCCCATTATCATTGTGAATATATTGTTCCCAAGCTTTACTCTATCTTGTTACTCATTCCCTCTGGTCTTCTACGGGTATCAGTGGCATTCGCATAATCTTCACCAGGAGAGAGCAGCCCTTCCAAGCACCATTTTCTCCTTGGTACAATGGTGCTCTCAGATCCTCATCATCCATCACAAACACTTATCAAGTTCTTCAGCTGTCTGCATCAAACCATCCAAAAATTAAACAGCGTCCTCTGCCTGTACTATACTGCAACAAACTCCCAAATCTGAACAGCACGGGAAACTCATGCTGCACAGAACCTTCTGGCTCTTATTGAACATAATGGAAGAAGATATTACTTTTCATATAACACTACAATGCCTCACGACACTGCATTCTAACTGCTACCTCTATGCACAACATTCGGTGGAAAACTGTGGGTCTCCAGCAGTTTTACCACATCACGAGGACACCACTGGCTGAAAAGTAGGCATTTGTAGACTACTCACATCTGCTGGACATTGCTGCTGTTTCTGGGCTTCAGGATCCTTATGTTCCTCATCGACCTCTGTGGATGTTGTTTGTGCAGACTGTGACTTCAGTGCCTGGATCCTTTGAGTTATAAGATTGTAGAATATACTTGTGATTTGTGGGATTTTTGAGAAACTTTAGAGCTCTCCTGACATTAATTCTGCTTCACATCCATTACTAGGATTAACTAGTTTAAGAACATGGCAAAGATTGCTCGTGACCAGGAATTTTAGTCAAAATAGTTTGTCAATGCATAAGGTTCACATCCACAGTTCTGTAATAATAGATTGATTTATACTGATCTGTGAGACAGTCTGTTTAATGCAGTGTCCCCATAAAGGGCCTTGAAAAGCTCCCAAGAAGATCCCATGCCCTCAGAGATAACACAGAACACTTAATCTATCCACTTTGTGTGCAATGACAGCCATTTTTCCATTTTATTGCTCACTTGCAATAGTTCTTAATTAACTTGTGAGATATAGGTGTCACCGGCTGGGCCAGTATTTCTTGCCCATCCCTGGATGCCCTTGAGAAGGTGGTGGTGAGCTGCCTTCTTGAACCGCTGCAGTCCTCCTGCTGTGGGCTGACCCACAATGCCCTTAGGGAGGGAATTCCAGGATTTTGACCCAGCAACACTGAAGTAACGGAGATATACTTCCAAGTCAGGATGGTGAGTTGCTTGGTGGAGAACTTGAAGGTGACGATATTCTCATGTATCTGCTGCCCTCGTCCTTCTAGATGGAAGTGGTCGTGGGTTTGGAAGGTGCTGTCTGAGGATCTTGGGCAAATTTCAGAAGTGCATTTTGTACAGTAACTGCTACTGAGCGTCGGTGATGGAGGGAGTGGGTGCATCTGGATGTAGTGCCAATCAAGCGGCTGCTTTGTCCTGGACGGTGTCAAGCTTCTTGAGTGTTGTTGGGGCTGCACTCATTCAGGCAATGGGGGAGTATTCCATCACACTCCATCTTGTGTCTTGTAGATGGTTAGACAGGTGGACTCGCTGCATATTTCTAACCTCTGACATAGTCTTGTAGCTACTGTGTTTATGTGGTGAGTCCAGTTGAGTTTCTGGTCAATTGTAACCCCCAGGTTGATAGTGGGAGTTTCAGTGATGGTGACCCCATTGAATGTCAGGGGATTTGAATGAGGATAGAAGGTGACAAAGGTAGCATGTCACAAAGTTGCAGGTTCAGCCTGCCAAATCTTCATTTTTCATCTCCCCACTTTACTCAAAGCCCCAGGCTTACACCTTACTTAAGCCAAACAACGTTATGCACTGCGTTCCCCACCCACCACCAAAGCCAGGATGGTAGTGATCAATGACCCTACCCTCCATTAGCCCCTTGTCCAATGCCATGCTCTACCTCCTACCATCCTTAATTGTTGAGTTGCATGCAGCATGCTACTTCCAATTCACATAACTGACTCCCCCAACATGCTCACTATAGCAGTGGCACCTGACAACCACCCTTAACTCTCAGTGCCCCTAAGAGTAACTGTGGCCCAGCCCCATACCCACTGTCCCACAAAAAGACATGGAACAATCGCCATGACTGGTTACTATCCAGATCTCTGACTGATTTCTGCGCAGCTTCCGCGCCAAAATTCCCACTAATTCCCTGACTGATTGCTCTGGACCTGCAGGTTTGACTGTGATCCACTGCCTGGACTTTAATGATAGAGAGCCCCGACACTGATCGCCCCAAGTGTCTAGCTGTGATTGGATTGTGCCCAAGTTCCCAGACCACTATCAGACAGTGCCTTTGACTCTGCCAGTAGATTGTCAAATCGTTCCAAGGGTCACCCATTCCTGGCCCCACCCATTTCTTTAAGAAAACAAAAAGGGCAGTAGAATAAATATGCCCCGTATGTGGGTGGCAGCTTGTGCAGTTGTGGCTGGGGACATTTAAAACTATTTCCATTATGGGGTTGCCCCGTTACCTTCAGTGTATAAGTCACAGCCTGTTTTCACTCCAGCTGTTGCTGTCGGGATGGTATCCTGGATGTTGGCCCCTTTTTCCAAACTTCCCAGTGCCAGATTGGAATTTTAGATGCCCAACAGTCCTGAACGAAATGGCTTGTTTGGCCACAGTTATAGCACAGATTGGGTTTGAGGTTCATTTGTATGAGTTCCCCTCTTCTAGGCACAGTGGAGCTGTATGGAAGGGACACCTGTCTGGGATTCCTTGGTGTACTCCTGTCACTTCTTGCATTCCTGCAAGTTGGAGGGGGGCTATAAGAAGTCAGGACCGCGCTTATGTGCATGGGCTCTGGTTTCGGCTGTGGGTCGGGGTGGGGGTGGCCATCACCTGGGAGAAAGGCAGGAGGGGTCCCCATCTGTGGCGCAGAGACAGATTGAATGCAGATATTTCAGTGTGGGGTCTCTTGTTATCTTCCTGGAGAGGTAGGACCCCAAAGGCACACATTATCCACTAGAGATTGTAATTGTTTGTGGTGCTTTGAATGCTCCATAATAGGGCCTGACGTGCATTGCTGGCTTGGACAAATTGTATGGTTACTTGGAGCTCCCTACCCTGTTCTTCCAGCTTGTCAATGTACGCTGAGGCTGCCTCCCATCCTCAATGGCCCTCCTCTCTATAGAACAGGCTCTTTCCAAATGTGCCATATGGATCAGATTTTCCTGTATTATGGTTTCCTGCTCTTTAGCTACAAATTCTACCTGGCTGCTGTGTTTGTAGTTTGTCTAGTATGTGGGTTTTGTGATTTCAGAGTTTTACTTGGCCAATATACCCAGCATCCCTTGCTGTTTGGCCAAGTTAGCAATTGTGTTTTAGCACCAGTGCCTACATCACTCAGGTGTGGGGAAAATCCAACCTGTAATGCTTAGACTATCATATTGCAAAAGACATTGAAACTTTAAAGCCTGACAAATGAGAACTGGCTGATGGAAGTAAAGTAATGTATGTTTTTATGCTGATGGCAATTTTTTAAGGCTCACATTAATGAGCATTGAACTAAATGTTTGATTTTGTTTTGCAGTTCCTCATTTATGGGAGTTATTTTGCAGCAATATCAGGACTTTTCTACATCCGAGGTATTTATACATTAATTCAACATGGGCAGAAAAGAAAGAAGAAAACAGAACCGGAGATCAAAGGAAATAATGCAACACCTAAAGATGAGACAAGAAGTACAGAAGAGTTTTGAAAATTTGAAAAAGTTATGAAAAATAAAATTGACTTTTGTTATTACAATTGGTCAGGGAGATGGAAAATATGTCCATGGTCATTAACGTCATTCAGTTAGCCAGGATAATATTTTAGCAGGATGGTAAAGAACCACTGATACATCATCTAAAATCTGGTAAAGCAGTTTTGTGAATTGTTTAAAAAATGATTGATTAAAAAATGAATAAAAAATGATCAGAGATAGTAGGAACTGCAGATGCTGGAGAATCTGAGATAACAAGGTGAAGACCTTTCTGAAGAAGGGTCTAGGCCCGAAATGTCAGCCTTCCTGCTCCTCTGATGCTGCTTGGCCTGCTGTGTTCATCCAGGTCTACACCTTGTTATCTTTAATAAAAAATGATCCTCTTGTTTAGATTTATCTGACATCCAGTACTGATGAGCAGATATTTTCTGATTAAATGTTGGAAAGATTAATTGTTTTCATTCCTATCTTTCTGTTTGCTAACTACCAGCACCATCTCTATCCCTTACAAATGTATGATACTAACCCTAACCCTTATAAACACGGTGCTGTATTTGACCCAGAGTTGAACTTTGTCCCATCACTAAGACCACTCATTTCCACCTCTGTTACATTGTCTAACTTTGTGCTGTCTTAACTCATCCTGTTACTGAAACCCTCATTCTGGCCGTCATTATCTCTAGACTTGACTATTTGAATGCACTCCTGGTTTGCTCCCACGTTTCACGCTCTGTAGATTTGGATGACCTCAAATTTATAGAGTCATGGAGATGTACAGCATGGAAACAGAATGACAAAGAACAAGAACTCAGCATGTCAGAAATCACAGGCACAATCTTTTCATTCATTGTTACAGTTTGTAATAATAACTAAATGCCAAATCAGAAAATATATAAATAACTTACATTCGCATATTTAACTGAATAAAATGTCCCAAAGCTTTTCACAGATGCACTATAAAACAAGAGTCCAAACTACATAAGACATTAGGTCAGATTAGACAAAGATTAGGTTTTAAAGAAGAAAGGGAGGAAGTGTGATAGAGAGGTGAGGGGAAAGAACTCCAGAGTTTAAGGCCTGGTCCAATTTGTCCATGTCAATCAGATATCCTAAATTAATCTAATCCCATTTGTCAGCATTTGGCCCATATCCCTGTAAACCCTTCCTATTTGTATACCCATTCAGATGGTTTTGAAATGTTGTAATTGTACCAGCTTCCACCACCTCCTCTGGCAGCTTGTTCCATATACACACCACCCTATACATGAAAAGGTTACCCCGTATGTCCCTTTTAAATCTTCCCCCACTCAGCTTAAATGTATGCCCTCTAGTTTTGGACTCCCCTACCCTGAGGAAAAGATCTTGGCTATTCACCTTATCCATGACCTTCATGATTTTCCAAACTTCTATAAGGTCAGCCCTCAGTGTCTGATGCTCTACAGGAAATAGCCCCAGCCTGTTCAGCCTCTCCCTATAGCTCAAACCCTTCAACCTTGGCAATATCCTTGTAAATCTTTTCCAAACCCTCTCAAGTTTCACACCATCTTTCCTATAGCAAGGAGATCAGAATTGAATGCAGTATTCCATAAGTGGCCTGACCAATGTCCTGCACAGCTGCAACATGACCTCCCAACTCCTATACCCAATGCACTGACCAATAGAGGCAAGCGTACCAAACACTTTCTTCACCACCCTGTCTACCTGCGACTCCACTTTCAAGGAAACATCAACCTGTAACCCTAGGTCTCTTTGTTTGGCAACACTCACCAGGACCTTACCATTCAATGTATAAGTCCTATCCCGACTTGCCCTATCAAAATGCATACCTTGCATTTATCTAAATTAAACTCCATCTGTAAGTTGCTCCCGTTTTACATATAAACCCTGTGTTCACTGATCTACGTAGCTCCCATGTTGATTTTAAGCTCTCATTTTCATCCCCCACCCACTCATATCTGCAATTTCTTCCAACTCTACAACTCACCAGTCATGGCCACTTGAGCATCCTGGATATAATTGTTCCACCATTGGTAGCTGTGCATTATTTGACTAGGCCTTAAACTTTGGAGTTCTTTCCCCTCACCTCTCAATCACTCTTCCTCCATTTTTTCTTTAAAACCTAATCTTTGTCTAATCTGACCTTTGTCTAATCTAATCTCTTATGTAGTTTGGAGTCTTGTTTTATAATGCATCAGTGTAAAGCTTTGGGACGTTCTATTGGGTTAAATATGCTGTGTGAATGTAACCAAAAAAATTGTAGATGCTGTAAATCAGGAACAAAAACAGGAGTTGCTGAAAAAGCTCACCAGGTCTGGCAGCATCTGTGAAGGAAAACACAGAGTTAACGTTTCTGGTCACCGGACCTGAAACGTTAACTCTGTATTTTCCTTCACAGATGCTGCCAGACCTTGTGTGGGTTAAGTGGATTAGCCAGCCTCAAACCCAAGAATGAAAATATTGGACAAAATACTGCAGATTGAAATAAGAACAGAAAATGCTGAAAACATTCAGCAGGTCAAACTCTGAAGAGAGAAACTGAGATAGCGTTTCAAGTTGATGACCTTTCACTACAAGTAGAAAAAAGTGTTAGGCAAGTATGACGACAGGGAAAGTGGTGGAAGAGGGCAGGAGAAATTAAATAACCAAAGGGATGATAGTGGAAGTGAAAAGGAGATGGTAAACCACAAGTAAACAAAGGTGAGTGAAGATTAGGCATCGATGGAAATTCATCACTGACAGCTGCCAGGTGAAAAAGTGGGTGTAGAGATTATCATCTGAATTTGTTCAATTTAAAGTTGAGTCAAGAAATGTTTAAGCAAAAGACGAAGTGCTGTTCTTTGAGCTACACTGGAATGATGTGGGAGACTGAGGACAGGGAGATCAGAATAGGAATAGGATGGAAAATTAAAGTGACAGGCACACATGAACTTGGAGTCACCCTTGCAGACTAAGTATAGGTAACCCCTTCACCAATGATGGTTAGGCATTCAGCTACCTGTGTTCTAAGCCCTTGAATTCAGTTCTTAAACCTATCCACCTATCTCACTTTTCTCCTTTAAGTTATCTTAAAATAAATTTTATTTGACCAAGTCTTTGGTCACTTGTTCTAATGTGTCCTTATGTAGCTCAGTAAAATTCCTTGGGAATGCCTTGGAATGCTTTACCCCATTCAAGGCATTATATAAATACAGACTTTTGTTGGATAATTTGGGGAGTCTCATTTCAGTCAATCACTTACCCAGGCTTAGTAACTCTTCCTAGCCAGTAAACCCCACCTGGGAATTATTTATAATCAATAGTTTCACAGAAATATTTTGCAAAACAAAGAGATATAGATGAAATAAATGTAAAGTTAATCAGTTATTTCTAATCATTTTCTGATTTGTTCCTTTATTTAATGTATTAAATGTTTACTGTACCATTAATTTAAATGTTTCAGATACAATACAATACTTGCACTTTGAACATTCAATGTTGATATAAAGTACAACATAGGAAATTAACTTGGATTTGACTCCTCCTTGCACAAAAGCCATCTAGTGGCGATTTCATCATAAGCTTCAGACTAAGGGTCTATTGATAAAAAAATGTATAAGAAGGTCTGCTCATACAGTTAGCAGATAAATACCATAATGGGTCTTTTTTCACCTTATTCCGAGTCCATATGTATTGAATTATTTCATTCCTTAATCATAACAAACCTATTATATTTGATGAAAGAAAAAGCCTAACAGTTTGATAGCTTTAATATAACGCACTTTGTACTATCAAGCCAATTTATAAAATATAATTTGACATATACAAGTCAACTCCATCCCTCCAATGAACTTCAGACTTTAACTTTGGACTCTCAAGAATAGTTGCAGCACAGAAGGTTGTTTGTCTTGCTGTGTCTGTGCCAGTTCTCTGCAAAAACACCTCCACACCCTTTCACACCCAATTGTCTTTTTATTTCCTGTTCAGGTGCTTATCCAATGCCCCTTTGAAAGCTATAATATAGCACAGGTGGCATGGTGGCTCAATGGTTAGCAGTACCATCTCACAGCTAAAGGGACCTTGGTTCAATCCTACCCTTGGACGACTGTCTGTGTTGAGTTTACACATCCTCTCCATGTGCTCCGGTTTCATACAGTCCCTCCAGTGTGGAAACAGGCCATTCGGCCCAACAAGTCCACACTGCCCCTCCAAACAGCATCCCACCCAGACGCATTCCCCTACCTCTGCATTTCCCATGTCTAACCCACCTTAACCTAAACATCCCTGGACACTATGGGCAATTTAGCATGGCCAACCCACCCACCCTGCGCATCTTTGGACTGTGGGAGGAAACCCACACAGACACGGGGAGAGTGTGCAAACTCCACACAGACAGTCGCCCAAGGCTGGAATTGAACCTGGGTTTCTGGCACTATGAGGCAGCAGTGCTAACACTGAGCCATGCTTGCACATTTGTGCAGGTTAGGTGGATTGGCTGTGCTAAATTGCCCATAGTGTTCAAGGATGTGTAGGTTAAGTGGATTAGCCATGGGAAATGCAGGGTCACAGGAATAGGGTAGCAGGGTTGGTCTGGGTGAGATGCTGTTTGGAGGGTCAGTGTCAATAGGCCAAATGGCCTGCTTCCACACTTTAGGGATTCTAAATGAATCTACCTGCAACAGATAGTGCATTGCTTACACTTGCTGTGTAAGTAATTTTATTGTTTTTATTAATGATTTTTCCTTTGTTCAGTGTTCATGATCAGCACATATCCCCTAATCCAATCAGACCAAAATAACCTGAATCGCCTTTGTTTTCATTTTGGCAAACATTTTGATTGCTATGCAGATCACTACTGGGAATTTTTTGTTTACCTCTCAGCCCTCCTCTCAGGCTCTTCCCCTTTCTGTCGTCTAGAAGGCATCTTTCATTGCTGGGGTTCCTTGTGAAGGCTGAGATTTGGTGACCTCCCATATCATCACAATCTCGAGGGGTGATTACTGAGAAATCCTTGGAATCTATCCTGATCACATTTGCTATTAGATTTATAACTGAGGGGTGTTTAATCCCAGTATGTGACCCATGTTTAACATATATTAATTCTCAATGTTACAAATAAATTTTATATTTATTTTGATTATATTACTGTTCTAACTTGTACAGTAAATTATTATTGCTTGTTTAAATGGTATCTTGAGGCTTTATTCTCTTAATAAGTCCCTTTTTTGTCTACTTTGAAAACAAAAGGTTACTGGTCCCTTACCAGATTATAACATAAAGTTAGTGGTATGGTTTGGGATCATACCGGATGAATTTGATACCTTTTTCAGAAAGATGGCATAGGTGTGAAAAGCTTGCTTCTGTGCTGGACTTGTGGTTGGACCTGGAAATGGAGGGAGGAGGGATTTATGCATATGCTCATTAATGGATAAACAAAACTGGGGAATATATTTACTTTCCAGCATGATCCTGTCAATAATGACTCTCACATTCTTGCATTTTCTCCACCGCTATGATTTTTTTGGTTTGTATCTAATCCTTTTTTGAAAAGTCACAATAAACCTTTATTTAACCTGAACCACTTCTTTGACATTAAGGTTTGGGCCATCAATTCAACTGCCTCCCACCCACTTCTCTTGCCACCCCCTCCTTACTCCACATCATTTGTTTTATGTTGTTCTCACATAAGGGATACATAGAAATAAAGAAAATAGGTCCAGGAATAGGCCATTTGGCCCTTCAAGCCTGCACCACCATTCAATATGATCATGACCAATACAATCAGCAATGATCGTATTGAATGGTGGTACATGCTCGAAGGGCCAAATGGCCGATTCCTGCACCTATTTTCTGTTTCTACGGCTGATCATTTAATCTCAGTATCCCTTTACCACCCTCTCTCCGTACCCCTTGAGTTCTTTAGCTGCAAGGGCCACGTCCAGCTCCCTCTTGAATATATCTAATGAATTGTCCCCAGCAGCTGCCTGTGGGAGAGAATTCCACAGGTTCACAACTCTCTGAGTGAAGAAATTTTTCCTCATCTCAGTCCTGAACAGCTTACCCCTTATTCTTAGACAGTGAGCCCCAGTTCTGGACTTCCCCAACATGGAGAACATTCTTCCCATATCTAGCCTGTCCAGTCCCATCAGGATTTTATATTTTTCTATGAGATCTCCCTTCATTCTTTTAAATTCCAGCAAATACAAGCCCAGATAATCCAGTCATTCTTCATATGTCAGTCCTGCCATCCCAGGAATCAGTCTGGTGAACCTTCACTGGACTCCCTCAATAGCAAAAATGTCCTTCCTCAGACTAGGAGATCAAAAGTACACATAATATTCAAAGTATGGCCTCACCAAGGCCCTGTATAACTGCAGCAAGACATCCCTACTCCTCTTGCTATGAAGGAGAGCATGCCATTAGCCTTCCTCATTGCTCGCTACAACTGCATGCTAACCTTCAGTGACTGTTCGGCCATGACACCAGGTCTCGTTGCACCTCACCATTGCCTAAATTGACACCATGAGACAATAATCTGAAGGGTCTAGGCCCGAAACGTCAGCCTTCCTGCTCCTCTGATGCTGCCTGGCCTGCTGTGTTCATCCAGCTCTACACCTTGTTATCTCTAATAATCTGCCTTCCTGTTTTTGCGACCAAAGTGGATAACCTCACATGTATCCACATTATTTTGCATTTGCCTGTATTTGCCCACTCAGCCAGTCTATCCAAGTCAACCTACAGCCTCTTAGCATCCTCCTGAGAGTACACACTGCCGCCCAGCTTAGTGCCAGCTGCAAATTTGGAGACATTGCATTCAATTCCTTCAGCCAAATCGCTAATGTATATTTTGATTAGCTGAGGTCCCAGTACTGAACCCTGCAGCACCCCACTCGTCACTGCCTGCCAGTCTGAAAAGGACCCATTTATTCCAATTCTTTGCTTCCTGACTGCCAACCAGCTCTCTATCCATGTCAATACATTACCTTGATACCATGTGCTTTAATTTTCCTTACTAATATCTTGTGTTGAACCTTGTCAAAGCCTTTTGAGAGTCCAGATACACAACATCTATTGACTCACCCTTGTCCACCCTTGATTCACCCTTGAGGTGACATCCTCAAAAAATTCCAGAAGATCTGTCAAGCATGATTTCCCCTTAGTGAATCCATGCTGACTACGACCAATTCTGTCACCGTGTTCCAGATGCTCAGTTATTACAACCTTAATAATCGACTCCAGCATTTTCCCCACCACCAATGTTAGGCAAACTGGCCTATAATTCCCCATGTAGTCTGACAACCTGCCATAGAAATAATAACTTGTGTTTATACAGTCTGTTTAATAACAATTTTGTATAAATATAAATCAATTTAGACACAACTAAACGGCCAAATCTGCTTCACTAGACTGTTACAAAGCACAGTTTGACATTCAGCCATATAAAACAATGTTAACATTGCTTAAAAAGACATTTTGTCAAACCTTTTCATCATACACTCATCAGGACAATTCACAAGAAATACCAATTTAAGGGGAATTCAACATTTATACCCCATGAAAGGAGAGTGCTGACTGGTTGGTAACGGGACTCTTCATGGTGTTGCCTTGGAGAACCATGCAGTACAAAAGTTAGCTCTCCCTTTGAATTGGTATTCTTGCAAACTGTCCTGCTGAGTGCAAGATGAAAAGCTTCCACAAAATATGTCCTTTTCCAGCAATACTCACATTTTACTA